AGATGTTTTCCTGTTCATCTTCTGTTAATAAATCCATAACACAAACAGCTTTTCTGACATTGTTTAAAACATTAGATAGATTATATAAACTGTAAAATATTAATAATAATTGGATTAATGTTATTATTAATAGTTTTAATGATTTCTACACCATCAGTCCTTTTTTCTGCTCTGTTGTCAACATGTACAGTAATGGGAAATCCAGACTCTTTCCCGTTTAGCGTTAGCCGTTAGCTTCTCAAGCCGATCACATGCTCACCTGGTTTCTGAGCACTCCATCTGTTCTATAGAACCTCCTTGGTGAGAACTAATGTTAGGAGCTCAGAAGACAGTTCAAGTTTCACTTTCTGTGTTTCACCCGAGAGCCTGCAGGAGTCATGGGTGGGGTTGGGGAGGTATGCTCCGTGATGAGGAAGCTCGGCTTAAAGACACGTCCCAGGGGCGTTTCTGGTCCCAAAAGGCATTTCTGGTAGAGGTGGGCGATACTGGGAACTTTGGTATTGATCTGATACCAAGTAAATACAGGGCCAGTATCGCCGATGTCGATACCAATACTGATACTTTTTAAACTTCATACTTTGAAAAGATCCAAAAGATCTAGGATAGAATTTCGCCAAACATTGTACGTGACAACAAAATACTTTATTATAACAATCAACATTTTTGCTTGCCAACAATAAAGCAGTAACAAAACAGTTTCCTTTAACATTAGGAAAATAAACCTTTTGTACAAAAATAAAATAAAAATTCTTCCCTCACCACTAGATATCTTTCCTAGTTCTTTCTTTGTTTTTTTTATTAAATAAAACTGTTCTTAGGTAAAACAAAAAATAAGTTATTTTCTTCCTTTCAATACAATTCTGTTTGATGTAAATAAACAGACTAAAAAGTATCACTCAACACAACTTAAAGCAAAATCTCCTGAGGTAGAGGGCTCGGTGAGAACGCTGAGTGGGTGGGCCAGCCTACCTGCTTAGTTAGCTTAGCTGTTTTAGTTAGCTTAGCTGTTTGTACGGTGGCCTGGAGGTGCGAAACAACATTACAAAATCTGAAACACTTTTACAAGTTCTGAAACAAATTTACATTTTAGAAAACACTTTTACAAGTTCTGAAACAAATTTA